CAGAAGGAACAGATTTAGGTCTTCTGATGTTAAAGGTAGATTTTTGTTCATACTTTGTTGTAAAAATATTAACAAAATAAAGTTTAATGTCCTCAGATGGCGAGTCTTCCTGCCTGGTGAGCTACAACCCCGACCAGCTTCCACCTGAGAACTCGTCCTTCCTGGAGAGAGGCTTCGTCTGCCGCTTCCGCTGTTTGCTGGACAACTCCTCCGGCTTCCTGGTAGGATGGACATGTGTTTCCCAGAAAGACGGTTCTTTTTTTTTTTTTACAAACCAAGAGAGAATTAGAGCTTAAATTAAGCTTATTTAGTGGTTGAGAGACACTTTGAAATAAAGGGATAGAATGAGAACATATTAGCGGCTCAGAGGCCTGTTTGTGCTGCCGGCGGTATGGCGTGCCACCTCAGTTCCTCAGCCATCAGAAGCCACCATTTACTCCCATAATCCGCCTTAAGAGAACCTCAGGGTCGTGGGGAAAAGTGCCTTAATCCTCCCACCGCCCAGAGGAGACGAGAGCGCAGGGAGAAGTTGCCTCGTCAGGGTTGTTAGCTCCCGACCGGACAGCGACGCGCTGCTGAAAAACATGATGCAGTGGAGCGACAGTGCAGGAAGTATTGAGGAAACACATAAACAACAATATCAAATGTTTCCTAGTTTCAGCTTCACAAAGGTGAGGTTAAATCTTTGTGGATGTAATCTGGAGTGTTTGGAGACATTTTACCGGCTTTCAGGAGCATTTTTTTTTTTAGATCATAACAACAAAAATGGTGTCACAACAGTTCTATATTTAGTATGACTGCCACCTACTTTCTGCTGCACTGCACTCATCAGTTTCCAGACTGGTGGTTGTTTCCAGTTCATCTCAGTCTTCTCTAAAAATCAAGTTACAGAAACCTGAAGTTTCCTGAAATGCAAGCGTAGCATAAAACCTTGAGTGTTTCTGGTAACGTTGGATCTCCAGGACCAGAACTAGACTGAAAAAGCAGCGTTGAAGTTATAAAAATAAGGCGTCATTACACACATTTCATCATGTGTCCAAGCGAGACACGCCCACGTCAAGAGCAGAAAACAGAGCGTTCACCAAGGACGCCAACACCCAGAGTACGAAGCTAATTGAGAAACATTATTTTCAGGACTTTTAAGGTAATAATAATCCATTTTTTTGTGACTCAGACACAAACCCCATCGGTGTCAGCTTTGAGTTTCTCATTCTGTTCCTAAAATGTAAATGAGCTGCATCGCTCCACTGCTCTCCTTCCTGTCTGCGTGAATGAGAAAGGAAACAATTAAAACACATTCTGGGCTTAAGAACAGATGACGACGGGGATGATGATACCATGAGGGTTGCTTCTTCATCGTTTTGATGCCACATGAAGGCCTGAAGCTGAGGGGCCTCCATGTCCTGCTCTGGGACACTCCAGCAGAACTCCGAGGGTCTGAACCCTCAACCCTCCATCCTCCCCCCCCAGTGCGTTTGCGTGAGCAGTAAGCCAGGTTTCTGCTTCTGTCTACCGGTCGCTATGGCTTTGTTTTTAGTAATCCCTCCTGCTATTCAGGGCTAGATTCCTGACATCACGGCTGCAGGCTCTTAAACCCACCAAGGTCAATTAACCAGAGCTAACAGAGGAGGAGGGGGGTCTTCACACGAGATGCCACAGGGTGAGAGAAGGACAGCGGACGGGAGAAAGTGTTTTCAGGTTTTTGTGGGGCTGTAAAACCTCCCTGTGGGCTGCTGCTGGTCGGTGATCCGAAACGGGAAAGTTCACTCAGTGTTTGGAAGGAAAGCTTCTCCGTGTAGGTTTCCCTCAGGTTACTGCTCCATCACAGATGCTTCACGGGGAGAAAAAACATCAAGAATCCTGCGTAGAATCTGTTGGAGAATTCTTCAACGTCAAAGATGGTGGCTGTATGACACGTGCCCCACCCCTCCGAATCAGGAAACATCTGGCCAATCATGTTGTTGCAATGTCTTCCAACTATGGATGAACCTGCAGGAGAAACACTTCTATAGCATGGTTTTGGTCAAACGTTTTGATTCATCGTTTAATACATGCAGTTTTTATGTCTCCGTGACACTGAAATTACAATTGTTGTTCTCATCATCCATTGGAATAGGTGCCTGGCTTTGTGGGAAAGACCAGAACTACCTGTCAGTACCTGGGAATATTGACTAAATGTGTTTAAATGAATCCAGTTGAAAGCAAAACAAGCTGATGCAGGATCATTGTCAGGCTTCTGCAGAGCTTGATGATGAGCTGATCATTTGAATCAGGTGTGTTGGAAGAAGGGAACATCTAGAACATGCAGGACTGTGGCCCTCGAGGACCAGGATTGGACACCCCTGAGCTAATGTCATCAACACGCTGCCAGAAGGTTTCTCCACAGCGTGCTTTGGGTTCTCCATCGTTAACGAGCTGCTGTCCACTTCAGGAGCGTTTAGGTTAGGTCTAAGTGTGAGAACCGCCCCTGTAGAGCCTCTTTCCTGCCATTTTCAGGGGAGGAAGTTGTACCTACTCTTGAGCAGCCCTGAGAGACTGCTGTGTAGATCTCAACCCTGATTGGTCGAACTGGGAGAGGACGCCATGCAGCATTTTTCATGCCCTCTCAGTCAAGTTTTGTCCTTTCAAATGTCGCTATCAACATAAGAAACCTCTGTTCTTCTGTTTCCAACCTGCTCTTAGAGCTACTGTTTGTTTGTGTTGGTGCACTTGGAGTTAGCTTGTTGAAGCTACACCACAATGGAAACCAAAAGCCTGAAAGGGCCGATACCGGTGTTGTTCCTGTAAACAGTCGGGCCACCTCTCATCTGCCTGGAGTTCTGGGAGTTGAAAGTTTCCCAAAGCAGCTTCTTTTGTCTGTCTTGGTGTCGATGTTAAAGATATTTTTCTCTGTTCTAAAAGCAGACAAGGCGAAGTGGGAAACATTTAGAGTGATGCTGGTTACATCTGGCTGGAAGCTGTGCCAGTTGCTGCTTTGCTCGTAAGAAACGCATCAATTAAAAAGGCTAATAAAAACGCGTGAGAAAAGAGAAAAGGTCATGTCTTCTCGTAACCGAGTAAAATGAGGTGATAATTATGCGCTCTTCGTTATGTGTGTTAGTCCATGAAGACATGTTTGGTAAAGTTTGGTAGAAGCCGAAAGGGAGGATGATGTGGTGACCACCGAAAGGTCTGGAAACCAGAGGTCATTAAAGTCTAGGTACCTTCATGGGAGTATCAGTGTGCTGTCAGAACCCGCTCCAGAGTGTGAAGGCTGATACAGAGAATGCAAACGATAATGATAATCAGTCTCATTTTCTCTGAAGCAGACCTCAGAAAACACATCGGAGCTCCGTGTCCCCGAGCCGGTTACTTTAAGAGTCATGTGACCAGAGGGAGTCTGACTGGAGGGATTTTCAGTCAGAGACACCAGTGCATCCAGTGTGTTTACAGTGTATTCTGAAGTGGTTTTGCGCTCTACATTACCCAGCAGGATAAATAAGACTGATGGTGCTTGACAGGGAGCGAAGGAAACAGCACTTACGTGTCCTCTGTGGAAGCTCGATGCAGTCGTCTCCGAGGGAGAGAAGAAAAATGAGAGGCAGCCGAACGGGAGGTTTTAAAAGATGACTCAGTGCTCTCTCATTTGTCTCGCTGCTTTTAAGATGATGATGTTCACGCCTCAAATTCAGCAACAAAATGACTTAATGGACTCCTCCTTAGGCGCTGAACATCCAGGGCAGGCTGAAGTTCCTCCACGGCCAGAGCCGCCAGCAGTGTGACAGCGAGGCCAGCAGCCCGCCTCAGCTCGCCCTGTTCGCCATCGCTACGCCCCTGCAGCCTCCAGCCATCCTGGAGATCCGCACGAGGAACATGATCTTCAGGACCAAACACAAGCTCGACTTCACGCCCATGGCTTGTGACGCAAAGTACGTCGAAACCTGAAACGATGCTCTGCAATTACACTCAACTTTTTTTCCTAATTATTTAGTACATGTTTGTGAATCTTTTTTTCCTTCAGGGGTAAAATAGTCCTGGGCTACACCGAGGCGGAGCTGAGAGTCTATGGTTCAGGATACCAGTTCATCCACGCCGCCGACATGCTGCACTGCGCCGACAACCACGTACGGAGTAAGTCACAGCTGCTCTCCTGCTCTGTACGGTCAACTACACCCAATACATTTAGTGAAGCACGTGTGAGACTAAAAGGTTACTGGTGCAAATGACTGGAGTTTATCAAACCTCCATCAGCAGCCCCCGCCCAGGTGCTCCGGGGCAATTAGCAAAACTTCATATCCAACAGTAAAGCTGTCGTCTTTTCTTTTTTTGTTGTCATTTTCCTTCATTCAACATAAAACACAAATCACATTATAAACTTAAAGATAGAAAACTGTTGTGGGATAGAATTTAGTGTTCTGGTGACCAAACCCATAAGATACATCCAGCACCTTTTAACTGGCCCGGTCCAAACAGCTCGATCAGAGGAAGAAGTCTGACACACTAACCACCTGACCATCACCCACACATCTATTTTAGTCCAACACAGAACTCAGAGGCCTGGAAACACGCTGGTGTTAATTAGACTGGGTTATTCATTGGTATTTTAATATCACCATTAGAGACTTTCCCAGCTTTAAACTCATCCAGGATCAGTCTATTTCCTGCAGAGCGTACTGACCCCTGTGTTGTGTTTGGCTCAGCATTGCATTCGTACACAAACAACAAACAAACAAACAAACAAACGCTGTGTGTGTCTCTGTGCTGTTGATGGAGGAAATCGCAGAGCGAGAGTCAAGTGTCCTACTTAGCTCGTGTACCGGATGACCCGGTTAGTCGTTACCATGGCGCCCTCAACGCCCGCATCACCAGACATGCTCGCACACAAACACACACAGTGTATGCATGTAGTCATGCATACAGAAAGACATTCATATGGAAACATATAACGCAGAGACACATACATATTCAGCATGCTCTGATGCATGCACAGATGGGAAGCACACAGACACAAACAGGCAGACAGAGAAACAGATTCTGGTTATGCCTCATAAAACTGGACGTGATGTCCGGAGTGGTAGAAAGAAATTCACTCAGTGTGAGGCATGATGTTTGTGAGGGGCCTCTTTGAATGTTTGGAGGTTTTCTTCTTTGTTAATTTGGAGGAAGGGCGGATGCAGCTGAGTCATTTATTATTCAAAAGAGATTTTTTTTTTTTTTTTAAAAAGCCAAAGAAACACGAGGATGTTTGAAACAGACTCAGGAAACTGTGTGTCCTATAAAAAGTTAATACATCTGGATAGTCGTGTTAATCATTTACATTAATGCTCTAAAACTGAGCAGCAGATTTCCACCAGCTCAGCTTTACGTAGAGTCAGTACAGATGATCAGGTGGACAATAGTAGAGATTTAGTCCTGTGATAAGAGGGAGGAAAATGACAAGGATGCTGCTTTATGTCAGTTTGGATTAAGCCAAGGACAGAGCTGACAGAGTTACAGAAGAGACTCCACTCAGTGCTTTATTTGTTATTTCTCATTTCCCTTGTAGAATAAATGTAAATAGTCACAAATAAAGTGTGACAAAAAGGAAAGTGATGCAGCTGTTCAGTAACTTTATCGGTCACAGAGTTTGTTTTCCATTCAGATAAAGAGAAGAGTCGTCCACAGGCATGAATACTGCAGTTTGTTGTAAAGGTCAGCCGCTTGTGGGTTTTACTGCTAAAAATATGCAGCGTGGAGTGAAACTGTACACACAGAAACAAAGCTGGGGGCTAACTGGGGAGACTATTGGTAAAAATCACAATTACTTTGGTCGATCATGAGTTCACAGTTACTCCATGACTTCGGAAACATCGTACAGTCATTAAACTTTTACTGTTGTTGACACAGTTCAGCTGAAGAACAAATTAGGAAATGACTCAAATGTGCAGCTTCTGCTGAGATTGCAGCGTGACTGCCGATGCAGCAGCTTGGACACATTACAGGAGGCTGAGTGAACCTACAGCTTCGCCCTTTGTGGACAAATCGACGTGAGCCACAGAAAGCTTACATCTAGTTTCATCATGTTTGGATATTTCCCCCCAAACACATGACTGCAGTAAAGCTGAAATACCAACAGAGGGAACCACAAAGTATCACCAAGAATGTTTGTAGCTGCAGCTATGAAGGATGAGAAGCAATAAGAAAAATATAAAAGGATGGGAGTAAATGAATCAGGAATGCCACTAAACAAGTAAAAAACTGTTATGATCGTTAAGCAGCATGAGACAGGAGAGGAGCGACTGATAAACATTTCTGTGTGTCAGTATTAAAGGCTGATTACACTGGATTGTTTTTCTTGACAAGCTAACAATACAACTACTGCAGCTGAATGGTTCTCTCTGACCTGACTGGATTTCTGTTCATAATTAATCCGTATTTATAATCATACATGACGGACAGCAGCCTGATTGTACAGCTGATCATCATAAACCGTCTCTGGACACTAAAACTGGGATTCACATGCACAGATAAGTTTCATCGCCTGATAAAACACGTTCAGTTGTTGTGGTTACGAGGTGTCGATGCGTTCAGAGGGGACAGCATTGGTTGGCTGCTGCCCAAATGTTCAGCTGTTGATGGTGTCTATGAGGAAGCAGCTCCCGCTGGTTTGCACCTGAAACTGTGCTTCACTTTGACGTTTGTTCAGAAACTAGACAGCGCAGAAACACAACCTGCTCCACAATTACACACTCTGACAGCCTGAACGCTGAGCCGAGGGGAAGGGGGATTAGGGGAGGTACGGCTGCGGTGCTGTGTTTGTGTGTTGTGCTGCATAAATGTGTGCAAACAGGACTCGTAACATGTGCATGTAGCCAAAGCGAACATCAACATGAAGCCTCCATCCGGCAGCACGCCCCACTGAGCAAATGCAGCGTGAGTGAGTGCACAGTGCGGGGCGGCCAGACCGTAAACAGCAGCGACACGGAGCCTCCAATGTGTCGTCTGATGTGATTGCAGTGATAAAGACGGGCGAGAGCGGCCTCACCGTCTTCAGGCTGCTCACCAAGGACAACCGGTGGAAGTGGGTCCAGGCCAACGCCAGACTGGTCTACAAGAACGGCAAGCCGGACTACATCATCGCCACCCAGAGGCCTTTGGTGTGAGTGCTGCTCCATTCTAGTGTGACTGTTAAACTTTGCTCCATTCGTCTGTTGATTTCTTCTCTGTTTGTCCACAGGGACGAGGAAGGAGGGGAGCACCTGAGGAAGCGATCTATGCAACATCCCTTCACCTTTGCCACCGGAGAGGCTCTCCTCTACCAGACCAGCTATCCGCTGCATGGCTTCCCTGACTCCTTCCAGGGCAAAGCCAAAGGCAGCAAGTCCAAGAAGGGCAAAGTGGACAAGAGCTCTTCAGATGAACTGGACCCAAAGTCCCTGCTGGGGGCGCTGATGAGCCAGGATGAGTCCGTGTACGTCTGCCAGCCCGACATGGAGCCCAAGATGTCCTACCACAGCAGCCTTTTTAGCGAACAGCAAAGCAAGACTGACGGCATCGGAGGCCTGTTAGGGGGCGACGGCTGGCAGCTCGTATCTAACGGGGAGGCGGGGCGATGCAACGGTAAAAGCTCCAGTTTTGATCCGCTGCTGGCCACCCTGGACTCTCTGTCTCTGGACGGAGGGGAAACGTGCTCCAACAGCGAGCTCTTCAGCGCCCTGGAGAACCTGGGCCTGAATGCTGAAGATCTGGAGCTGCTGCTGCTGGATGAGAGGATGATCCAGGTGGAGCTGGACCCCAACCACATCCCAACACTCAGCGACCTTCTCACCAACAACGAAATCCTCTCCTACATCCACGACTCTCTGGAGGGTGGAGCTGGGGCGGAGGAACGAGGGGACAGAAGTGGATTCGGACCTTCAAGCCAGCCGTCAAACCCAGAATCAGCCCAAAGCGTCTCCCAGCAGACGTGTTTGACGCCTGCCGTCGTTGCAGCTCCTCCCAGCAGCAGGCAGCCCATCGTCCAGCTGTCGCAGCAGATGCAGCAGCACATCAGTTCAGCTCCAACGGGACAGATTCAGCCCGGAACAGTGAACTCAAACAACCCGACTGGGATTCCCAACAGTCACTGGGCGATAACGGCGGAGAACCACCAGCCTCCCATCAACCACACCCACCAGCACCCTCATCCTGCGCCGGAAGCCACGCAGCTGAACGGTGAACACAAACACCTCAACTCACTTCTGGAGTCGAGCCAGCAGTGGCAGCTCCAGCAGGACCAGCACTCAGTCCACCTCCAGTCCCACCAGCAGGTCAACAGCGAGAGCACGTTGCTGTCGGGTTTCCAGAACCAGCTCGGACTGATGACGAACGGATCTTACGTCCAAACTGGACACGCGGCTTTTCCCCCAAACGTGGAGGTTGGTCACACAGACTACAGTCTTTCCAACATGCCGCACGCAGGCAGCACGGCCCTGAACTGCCTGAGCGTCCAGGACGTTTGTCACTACCAGAGCCTGGTGGCCACCACGCAGCCCTACCAGCTGCAGGCTCACCAGAAACACCAGCAGCAGCAGCAGCACATGTTGCAGCAGACTCAGGTTCCTCCGTCTTGTTTGCCCCCGTGTCCCACCCAGAGCTCTGCACTGGAGTTAGAGCAGCTACTGGCTCTGTCGCAGCCGCAGCACAGCCGGCCATCTTTAGAGGCCTACAGCGTGTTCAACGCCACGCAGGACTCCACCCACAGCAAGGTAAGACCAACAGAGACACAAACAGTCTGGTCCAGAGCTCGGAAAATAACAATTTAAATTCAGTCTGAAGCACAAGGTACGTCTGTATACTGAGTTCTTTTCAGTTTAAGGCTCATATTTCACATTCCTGAATACAAGGACATCATAGTTCTGGAGGCATGAAATGAAATGGGTCAAAAGACCTGTTTGCACAAGACTAGTATTACCTGGGTTCCTCGAGGGATTAGAGATGACTGACATGACCTGAGAATGTTGTCCAGACTTTCCTTCATAGTTGCCAACCTCCATAATTGTGGAGCGAGAAAGAGGCAGAAAGAAGATGTTGAGAAAACTACAACTCACATCACAGAGATACTGATTTACACGGGACCAGTATTATCACAGGACCTCTGTGTTTAGTGAAGGGTGGTAGGTACAAATTAATATTTATGATCATATTCTTGTGCAAATAGGGCTAAAAATGACACCTGAGTACCTTTCAGTGTAGTTTCTCTTCCTTTTCAAACACATTTCACCAGAACTTGCTTAATTATAAATCTTGATATCGTTGAGTTTAACACAGGATGACAATGATTTGTGCAGGTGTCATTATCCTTCATTAAACTCAGATGTCGGAGGGTAATTTCCTTCCATTTAAAGTCCCCCCACCATACTGGTCCCATGAAAACCAGGCTTGTGTTCCCTGGCTGTGGGGAGGTGAGTAATGCTCTCCCCTCCCTCAGCAGTCGTCCTGAAACTTAAATCCCTCTCAGAGCGCCTGTCTTGTGTCGGACCTGTTCCGTCTTCATTCTCAGCATCTCAAAAGGACCAAAGCTGCCAGTTCTCCTCAGAACTGTTTGGTCTGGGAGCCGGACTCTCGACTCGAGTCTGTTGACGAGGCCTGAAGTCCGCGTTGGCCTCAAATATCCGCGAACATCAACAAACCCAGGGCTGCAGGATCCACAACCCCGACTCTTCAACCCTGTGCTGTTCTCTTTCACTGTCATGGAAATTGATTTTTTTTCCGAGTCAGCACACAAAAGCCTCCGGCTTTCATGGAGCTCAGTGTAAACTGTGATGATGCGACCAGACAAGCCATGTAAATAAGACAAGGGGGAGATGGGTCAGCGCAACACGGCCCGACAATATAGTCGGTATAAGTCGAGGGATTTACCAGTTCAGGAGAAGTTGTGTGGGAGGCGGTTTTATTGGTGCTGGGTGTTTAGCTGACTTACAGCGTGTGATTTTACACGAGGCCAGAGACAAACAGTCATGAAATAACTTCTGCTGCTGCTGAATTTGCACAAATCTTTAAAAGAAAATTAGAACATGTGAAGAAAGAAATGTTCGTCTTTCTCCAGCAGATGCCGAAGCTAACCGAGCAGCTAAACAGAAAGCACAAGGAAAAGGTTTAACTGAGGATCATGATTCACTAGTTTGCTATGATGTAGAGCAGAAGTCAATCAACTGATTAGCTGATTGACAGAAACTTGATCTGCGGCTCTGTGGTGGATTCCAGCGTCCCAGATGTGAATGTTTTAGTCTTGTGCTGATGAGTGTTGTCACTTTCCTGAACTAAATGATGAGCGGAGGGAATAATGTGCAGATACACCAACACGGAAAGTATCTGTGCCCAACAAACTGTCAGCTCAAGTAGCTGCAGTAAAGGAAGAAAACAGAAAGAATCAAGAACGTTTGCTTTACAAACCGTTGTGCAAAACTAATTGTGTTTCGTTGGACTGCTGGATCCAGAACTCACATCCCATTAACATCATTTGGTTTCCCTAATGAGACTGTATAATGTTCAGGGGAAGCAGGAATTTGTCTTTAAAGTCCAACTACAACTTTTTCCACTAATGACAGAGCAGCGAGGCCTGCAGAATGTCATCCCAAAAACGCTAATCAGTGCGAGTACAAAGAGGAGCGTAGTTGGAGGTCCAGAGAAGTTCCCATCGTAAAACATAACGAGGTAACGAGACCTCGCCAGCCAGTGCTGCCAGATCTGAGTCTGAAGCAGGATTCAGACCAGGAATGTGTCAGGAGCTGCAGATCCACAAACAGTCCCTCAGTCACAACATGCAGCTGGTGTGTTATAAAAGATCCATCTTTGGACTCTCCTCCATCTTTTTTTCTGCGTGATTGTCTGTTTATCCGAGCATGAGGAGCATCGCTGGTGTTTAGAGTGACAAACAAACTCGGCGATAACAAAAGAGACACAATGAGATAGGAGGGAATGGGCCGCCGAGAGCACCGAACGGCAAAGCGGCAGTAGTGAGAAAGAGTACAATAATGAATAGAATAAGGTCGGGATGGTCCGCGGCCGGCCCCGGAGATGGACGACCCCAGCAGGCATCCATTCATCCCCGCCCCATTCAGCCTCCACTGTTATTCTTCAGGGTCAGTGGCTGCCGCTGAAAGAAAAATACTGGCAGGCTGGCCAGTCAAGCATGAGCGGTGCTGACCTACAATTGGTCTGTCATCATTACCTAATGCTGTGAACGCAGGGTGGAAGAGGGGCAGCGATGCACTGGGCTCGGGTAGAAGCAGCTCCGCTCCACGTAGATTTAACAAACGTCTCTGGATGTGAAGAACGTACACATTTCTATATATATATAAAGCACTGAAACTATATTTATCTGATGCTCTCCGACAGATTGAACAGCGTATTATGAGCAGCTGTAAAATGGAGGAGGGTATGAGTTATGAATAATAAATACAAGTAGAGTATCCCGCATTACAATGTACACGGTTCCCCTGCAAAGAGGTTTTAGTCGTTACTGGAGGAGGATCATCTGTGCCAGCGAGATAGGAACTGAAATTTTAAAAAAGTAAAACATTTCTAAGGAGTTTTGTTAACTGGAGTTTCATTTTCTCAATCGTGAGAGACATTTTTGTTTGTGAAATGGTCAGAAATGGCAGGAAAAGGTGAAGAATTCTGTCTAAATCAGGGAACATGCTGTTTGAGGATCGATCATGGTGCTAAAGTTGGAGGTAAAATCAACCAGGAAGCTGACGACACACCAGATAGAGGCCTGCTGCTCGTAGTTACCGCTCTCTATTCTGCACTGCGCCTGCTTCACATTTAAAAGTTGTTTGGAAATCGGTTTGAACCGCGTTCTCTGACAGGAACGAAGAAGTTGATGCTGACCAGGTGACAAACAGCCTAATCTGTTTAGACTAAAGGGGATTACAGCCGCTATGATCTCAGTCATCACAACAGCGACGTGCTGCAGGACACTCCTCCCTCCTCCCTCCTCCCTCCTCCTTCCTCGCTCCCTCCCCTCCTTCCTTCCTTGCTCCTCTTCCTCCTCCTGTCATGGTGCCTCTCAGGACTCCAGGTCTGCCCACCAAACATCTGTTGCTCGGTGCTTACCTCCTGACCCGACCTGCTTCGTGTGATTAAGGTCAACGGTGACTCCATAACTGTGATCCTTATGCAGAGATCACACATTGTAAATGGTTCAAAGCCTCTAAACCAGCTAATATTCATCATCTAGTGTATTAATGAGAGGCTTCGTGGTTGATAATTAGGTTATTTTGACGTTTCATTTCAAAATAAGAGACATGATTTGAATACAACCTGCAAGACAGCACTCAGGGTTAAAAAACAAAACGCCTGAACATGTTGGCACGTAGCTGCACAATCAAACTTCATCTTAATATACGAAGCATTTCACATTATTGTCCTCCATCTGTGTGCACATGATTTAACCATCTGATACCCAAGCAGTTTCTGAGCGTTTTTTAAACTATTTTCACGTGTTTCCTCTGCGATATAAAGTCCTGCACCTCAGTGGAAACAGAACAATCACGAAGAAGGACAGAGAACTCAGAGGAGTCTTAGGTGCAGCGTGACATAACTATAATGCCATAAATCATCAAAAAGAAAAACAAAAGCTGAATGTCTTTAATTATATATTCGACAAAAATCACAAAACAAAACTGCCCATTACTGGAAAACGTTTTTCTCACTCGTCTGCTCATCCACTCTGGAAAACTGCCTTCACCACGCTGAACGTATCGTCCTGAAAGTGTTCCTCGAGCCACGCTTCGTTTATTTCATTGCTTCAGTATGTTTTAGTTTCCTCTTTGTCTCTGTAGTTTGCTTCCATACTTCTCTACTCTCTTAATTTTTATTTTTGTTTGCAAAATCTGGTGATAATTTTGGTGATTTTTAAAATAAGACACTGAGATTTTGATGAACGATAAAGTTTGAAAGCTTAGATTTGGTTAATTTTTCCACACGTCACACGAGCATTAGTTCAAAGTGTGTTGGAACGTTTAAAATCCTGTTTTTATTCCCGTTGCCTGCTCCGTAGAGGCTGAATTCTTAAAGAAAACCTGCCAACAGATATTGATTCACATTTCCGTATTTCATGTATTTTCGTGGTCGTGCTGCTGTCTGGGTTTTATTGGTGCATTTACATTTTCTCAAGCAGAAATTACACTAAAGATGAAACACACGACTATTCCTCATCCTGTAACCGCCTTGCTTTGTTTTCCAGCTGGAGAACGGCTGCCTCCTCAGCGCAGCCAACGCCGCGTACGTCAGGACGTGTCTGATGCCCAACGGAAACGCAGTGGCGACGGGCGACATTCCCGTTTCGTGCCCCGACGGACTCCCTGCGCTACAGGACCCCCAGAAGTCTGGATTCTTCCTCTGAGGGGACGAAGGCCAAGAGTCAGTGGAGGCCAGAAGAAAAGAGAAGGTAGAGAAGGAACTAAGAGAGAGGGACGATCTCTACAGACTGAAGTTAAACTCTGTTCCACTACAGACCTCTGATCAGGTTCTCTCTCAGAGCATTTGGTTTCGTCTGTGCTACTCAGAAACACAAGTCACCTGAAAACGGTGAAGAAAAGACAATCTGTTAATGTCACTGTGTTATAACGACTGTTCGTGCTCTCACTGAACGTTTCCATGTCTGGATTCAAATCTGTCAGGAACACGAGCCTGACTGGATCTACGCTCTCAAGCCAAAACTCATCACTTCCTGATTTGTAAATACACGATTTAAAGTCCTGAAGAGAAGCTACGAAGAGACAACAGTGGTCAAAAAAAAAGGCCGTTAAAGGTGATTTAAAACGACGTCCTTCACGTGACTGCTGACCATTTTTAACCACATCGTTGGTTTAAACTTGAGTCAGAGATCATTTAAATAACCAGTGAACAGCTGCATGTATCTGAACCAGACTTCTAGAGTACAACCAGAGAAAATACTGGATTCATCCTCGTCCGACCAATCAGAATCAGTTTGGATGAGACACCACAGCCCAAACTACAACTAGACTGTTATTTATTTCTCATTCGTCCACCCTCTTAAAGTAGGAAATATTCTCCCTCAGAATTGTGCTAAAAATGGTCCACAGCCACGTGACAGGAAGTGATTTAAATCGCCCTACGAGCCAAAATACCTGACAGGAGCGTAAGAACGAGCTGCTTCCATTAGCGCGACAGCTACTCAACATGCTGCTGGTATTCGAATGTGAACGCTTCGGCGGTGGAGGAGGAGCATTTCCTAGAAGACGTTTATACTAACAGCCGTGAGATTTGGATTCTCGGATCGAACACACCAACAGATTATTTAAATGTCCGTGTTTGTTTGTCACCTAGGTGTAGAAGAAACGTAGGGTTAGTAGAGTCGTCCTGGTGCTTTACGTGTCGACAACTAAGCATTTCATCCTTATGGTTAATATTGTTTAAAAAGGATTTAAAAAAAAAAAAGAAATCAAAGAACGAGCATCCGAAAGGTTTTTATTTATTGCTGCTGCCACAGAAAAACCACGTTGCCTCTGTGGCCGCGGCATCACCACGTTTATCCTAATGCTGCATTTTAGCCTGTTCGAGGTTTACAATGATGTCGTGCACTTACACGTACGTAATCAGGAAGCGTCTGATTTGTCCGTCAGTGGCACCGAAATCAAACATCAAAAAGCATTTTAGTTTCCTGACCGGAGACAGTGTGAAAATCTCCCGTTAATGCCTTGTCTGGGCGGCCTCGGCCAGTCAGACGCCCACTTACTTCATCCTGCAGTCGTGTCGTGTGGGAAACACTGAATGCACTTACACGCACACACACTAATCCATTAAGGACCTAATTGTAAATAATTGATTAGAAGTGAAGGCGGGAGAGGAAGTGCATGGAAGTTATTCTTAAGTTTTGTTTTCCTGTAATAACAAAGGAGATTTTCTACGATTGAGGAGACATCTGCGCTCGCATGCGGGCCGGATTTGTTCTCTTTTTATGTCCATGTTTGGCCGTTCTGCGCATGTGTGGAGAACAATTATCCAGAAACATGTAGGAACAGTTAATTAACGGTTCCCGTGTGATGTTTTCATCAAACCAACAGAACTAACAGACTGTTCGCTCTGAGGAGGCTTCCTGTTCTTTTCAGACAAACATATAAAACTTTCCCCACATGACTGAAGCCCTTTTCAGACATCCATCCATCTACACACCGCTTAATCCTCACTTGGGTCATGGGGGGCTGGAGTCTATCCCAGCTGACTCAGGGTGAAGGCAGGTTCACCTGGACAGGTAACCAGTCTATCACAGGGCTACACTTAGAGACAGACAACCAAGCACACTCACATTCACACCTACGGACAATTTAGAATCACCAATTAACCTCAACATGTTTCTGGACTGTGGGAGGAAGCCGGAGAACCCGGAGAGAACCCACGCTGCAGGGGAAGAACATGGAGACTCCACACAGGAAGATCCCGGGTGTCCTCACCGGGACGCCAACCGGCGACCTTCTAGCTGCGAGGCAACAGTGCTAACCAACTGCGTCACCGTGCAGCCCCCTTTTCAGACATGAGACACGTAACTTTGCTGCTTCGTTAAAGTGACGACATTTAGTCTAAACGAAGAGAAAGTTCATCAAACCGGTTTATTTCTGATTTCCTAAACACTCAAAGTTCTGTCCACGTGTCATAATAATCCAACTGTTAGCAGTTAAATTAAACTATGGAGCTCAACCTGAGGAACAAATGATTTAATTTGTCTAATTAATGAGTTATAGCTCTCTTTAATTCATACAAATCCCATGGCAGGTAATTATAAACTTTTTAAATTGGCATTTCTCTTGTAGAACAATAAAAAAGTTTTTCTGCAACTCTGGCAGCAAATTGCAGCTTTTGCTCTCTAGGAATTTGTTAAAATAACCTTCCAAGAAACCACTTTTTAACGCCCCTATAGCTCACCTAGCTGAGCGGGCGACCCATAAACAGGGGCTACAGTCCCCGACGCAGCGGTCGTGGGTTCGACTCCCGCTCACGACCCTTTGCTACAGGTCTCTCCTCATTCTCCCCCCTTTCCTGTCTATCTCTACTGCAAAAGAATGTCTGAAAGGGGCTTCAGATCAAACATCATCCACGCTGCTCCTCCAGATCGCTGCGACTGTAAAGCAGCTGCTCTGAAGACAGTCTTTTGTTGTTTCTGTCTGATGTCACACACATGAACTACTCACCAGACCTCCCGTTAGCTCGTGAAAGCTAAAAAACAAAACCACCTAAAGACAGAACAAGCAGACAGCAGTGTTCATGTCGAGTCAGAGGAACTGGAACTAATTAATATTTAGGGGTTTTAAATCCCTAAATCCATCTTCTGTCCTTATAAAAGGTTGCACATGCTCAAAGCAACCTCATCTGTGGACATGAACTCTTTAGAAGTGACATCAGAGACTAAAAACATGATAGTTTCTGAAGCTTTGATTTGAAATGCGGCTCTGATTTCACAGAAAACTCACCACGCCCACATTGATGGCAGTTCTAAGTCGTGCTTTGTCGTGTTTTAGTAGATGTTAGTTCTGATGAACGACTTAAAGGCTGAAAGACAGCGAGGGGGGGAAGGCGGGACAGCATTTAGCATTTAGCACCAATTCAAAAACCAAATGAGACTCGTGTGAGCACACGCGTGTCTGCAGTCGCTCCGTCGTTGAATGTCTGGTGTAAAACTGTAAAGGCGTTTCAAATACGAAGCTTTTATTTCACTACGATAAAAAGGTGCTGAGAAGCGATTTTGCCCACGTTCGCCGCACGAACAGCGAAACGCATTTACAGGTTTGCCTCGTTTGTTTTTCTTTTTGTAAACTGACTTTTCTTATATATATATATAAAAAAAAGAAAAACAGATTCAAATGCTGTGTGAAAGACAAAAACATTTCATAGCGTCTCAGAGCTCTTTAAGAACAAACAAAAAGAAGAGCGGTCGTGTGTATATAATGTGTTTTTAATGGCGTTGTTGCGAGCACTACTTTAAAATCACTGCTCTTACAAACTCTTTCTCCAGCACTGAAAGTAGTCTTGTAGAAAAAAAAAAAAGAAGCATTTTATGACTCCATGTTGTATGAATATTGTTCCCAAGAGTTGTGTGTTTTATCTTAACGTCATGTTTGTCACTTTAGCGGTACGGTGCCATAAGAGTGAGCCGAGACTCACTCCGAGATATTACGAAAAACACTGGAGCAGCATTTTGGTATTAAAAAGAAAAGAAAATCATCTTTTATCTTTGACATCCACTTTGTCCACAGGTTCTTTTGTAATCAGCCATTTCAACTCTGAAACCAAACTCTCCGTTTTGTCGTTTTGTTGTTTTTTAAAAAGGCCCACAGACTTTATTTTGCTACTTTTATCACCGAAGCTCGTAGTCGTACGTTAACAAGACTTTTCTTTTCTTTTTTTAAAAATGCAGTTTTGTCTTTGAGCCGTGTGTTGAAATGTGCTCTTGGATCCTGGAAATAAAGGATTTCGTGCAATCACACTGAACCGCCGCCTCTTTTCTCTGACTAACGCCGCCTGTGCTGTCTTTGCAGAGCCTGTGGTTCCTCACCTGCCCACCAGGTGTCCCTGTAGCTCCCCTCCTCACCTCCTCACCTCCCCCCCAGTCAGCCAGTGTTCAGGTAGTCAGCCAGGGATCGTTAGGTAAGCAGGATGAAGTTTGAGTTCATCACTACGTCAGCCGAGACATTTCTTCCCTTTTTTGTTTGCTTTTCTGCATCATGGTGTTTGTTTTATTGTCAGCTAGCGCCTGACGTTATATTACTGTGTCTCTATATTAACATAACTTTGGCCTGTTAACGGGTTTAGGTTTCATTTGAACATTCAGGAGACACATAAAGCAAAATTAAGGAGGTTTTCAGGCCTCAAACGCTTAATTTCCTGCATCCTGGGGAATTTTTATCCCCCATTTTTTGCCTTTTTAGCATCAGCTTGTGAGGAAAATGTCTTTATTCATGTAAAATAAAAAACCAGGAGATAATTCAACATAACGGATCTCAGGCTTTAACTCGTAGATCAACGAAAATCACGAAAATCATCCCAGATTTTGTTCAGGAAGTAAATGTACAAAGCTAAAAGATAAATTAATTCACTTTAATTCATGAAAAAAAAACAGAAAACAAACATTTTCTGATCAAAATATTGATTAAACTAATTATTACTCGTCCCTGTCAGAGGAATTGTTGCTTTGTTGGTTTCAGTGTGTTTTTCAGATCAAAACCTTTTATTTAATTTAATCCTTTTATTGTTAAATACCAGTGCACATGTACTAAACACTGACGACGATGTGTCTTCATTGGCTTCACGTTACGGTGACTGACTTTCACACCTGTACACGACTTCACGTGTGTGTCATTATTTACTAATATTTCACAGATTTGATGAGTTTGACGTCAAAAATCTGCAGCGTTTGACTGTAAAACTCCACCGTGCTCCTTTACTGTATAAAAAATGTTATTTTACAGATAGTTGCTGGTATTTAAAAGAAAATCAGTGAGGATTGAAAAACAGGTTCATTTTTTAAACTGTTATTTTACAGATCATCTCTGTTTTGTTAAATTACAGAGAATATCTACTAAAAATCCCAAAACAAAAAGTTAATTTACATAAAACTGTAAATGTTGCAGTGTGTGACCATAAAATGACCATTTTCCTGTATTAACATCAGTTAAAAATGTCCTTATTTTACAGATAATTGTTGTTGTTTGTCTAGTTTTTGAACATTAGAGCATTCCACCATCTTTTAACATATTTTTTCTGGCTCCACTGCTGTCAGATCTCCTCAAACATCCCTCAATATTGATTAGTTTATAGACAGACGTGTGCTCAGCAGCCTTCTGTTATTCTGGTGTCACGACTTAAAATACTCGTTACTAGTTCAGATCCTTCAGATGAGTGTCCTCCTGCTCCTCCTGCATGAAGGTAAAGGTGAAGCTGCAGAAGACTCCTCCACCTGAACAGGTAAGCTCATTGAAGAATTACCCATAATGCCTTTCAGGTCATCAAAAAAAGGGAGTTTGACCTCCTGTTGGTCGTGCCTTAACTTCTCTGCCTTTATTAACTGCTGCCGTCGTCTCTTTCTCATCTTCTTAGAAAACTCCTGGAAAGTTAACTTGTTCTGATGTCATCAAACTATTTTTCACTTAAGGTTTGTTTCGCTCAGTTTCACTCGTCGTAATATCCTGTAATTGGTCCAAACAATCCAGACACGGCTCAGACTTCTTCTTCATGTTGCTCAAAGGTGTGAAAGCTCACCAGGAGGCCGACAGAAGGCATCAGGCGGCAGAACAACGGCAGATAAGCTGCTGAACCCCACAAACACACACCTCAGAGTCTTTGTTTACGTCAGGTTTGCACAGAAAGCTGCTTTACTGAACCTCAGAGGCTTTAAACACTGAAGTGAGGCACGCCACCGACAACCTGAGGAGGCTTTTAGCTGCTCGGCCGTCCATTCCCACCCCTCCCTCCCTTCTTACGCTTTTTGCACCGGCGGATGTGTGAACTCGCGCCGGCCGAAAGCAAACAAACGCACAGTGACACCAGAGGCGATCCGCTGGGGACGAGCAGCGAGAAACACTGAACCGAGGCTTGAAATGTTTCTCAGGCCGACTGGCTTCACGTTGTTTCACCGTTTGAGCTTCTGTTTTATGCATCCAGGCGTCAAAATATATCTTAACAAACCCCTGATCTTACAATACAAACAGCAAGTTTGTTCTGTAATCGTGACAAATGTGGACAAAAAGTCTAATAGAAAACAGAGATATCAGTGAAAGACAAAAAGAACAAGGCCCACGGAGCCTCCCCTCCGAGTGCAGAACGCTGTCTGCTGCCGACTCTGCATCTTTAATGAGCCGCCCAGAATCATTTATGAGAGTTTTCTTTCTCCCGCAGTCTTCAGCCGGTTAACTTTGCCTCCTTGTGACGTGATCAATCATCCAAGCAAGATGTTGTGTGTCCCACTTTAGCTTCCTCGGGCCGCCGCGCCACACGGGCCGCCGCCACGGCGAGCTCCGCGGGGAGAGCCGAGGGCCGCGAGGAGCGAATACGTCGCCGCCGTGCCGGTCACTGAGATAACAGGAGGACGACTTGTGTTGATTAAATGGTGCCAGAACGTGTAAAGCATCGCTCTGTAACTGTTTTATTTCAAAGGAGTGATAAATGTATTGACATCTACTGAGATTT